TCACCAGAGCAGAGCAGAGGGTGAGGATCACTTGCCTCACCCCACTGGCCACTCTGCTTCTGGTGCAGCCCAGGATGTGACTGAGGATGCTTGACCTGCATTATAGGTTAATTATTTTTCTCTAAATTGTGTACCTGAATGTGATATTTAGGTTAATTATGATATGGGGCAATCGCCCGTTTTAAAAAATAAAACCCAAAACCCCCACCCCAAACCTCCTTTACAGTTGAGCTTCCCTTTCTCCCCTTTTCTGCTCCGTAGCCAGAGCAGGATTTTATCAAAGTTTGAAATTCATTGGGCAAGACACTTGGGAGACAGGAGAACTTTGAAAAAGCACTATTTGGTTTGGGAAAAGTCTCCCAGCTTTATTGGAGCTGTGTATCTTTTAACATGGCTTCGCCTGTTGGCTCCCCATTGCAGCTGATTGCTTCTGAATAACCACTTAGTGCCTGTTTGTTTTAAGGAAGTTGGCTGATTACCTAAAATTTCTAAGGAAGCCACAGCACTTGCAGTCGTTCTTTGGGGAAGCGCAGGATGCACTTGAAACAGATGTTAAAGCCTCGGCTCACACCAGGAACTCCCGAGTTAGTTCTGCTTTCAGACCTCGTTTTATCTGTGTTTGTATGAACCAAAAGGGTTGTCAAGCCCTGGCCCAGGCTGCCCAGGGCAGGGGTGGAGTCCCCACCCCTGGAGGGATTTAAAAGCCGTGGAGATCACATAAAAAATAACACAAATAATAAATAACACTATTTAAATAAAATAGTTTTGGAGGTGGATACCTTAACAGGAGTTGTGCAGTTCCCCACAGGCGAGCTGCGGAGGTTTGCTGCCTGATAGCTTCTCTGGGACTTACTCTCATGAATTTCCTTCCTTTCCCCACAAACCTCTACCGATGTTTGTAACTTGTGTTTGAAAGACAGGCAGTTCATTTTAAGATGAATACCTTAAAAAGCAGTAACGTGCATGAAGGGTACATACTTAGAGAAGTGGCTTTACACTAGAGCAGGGTGGATCTAGATTAGACCTTAGGAAGAAATACTTTCCTTTGAGGGTGGTGAGGTTGCCCGGAGAAGTTGTGGATGCTCCATCCCTGGAAGTCTCCAAAGCCAGGTTGGACGGGGCTTGGAGCAACCTGGGCTGGTGGGAGGTGTCCCTGCCCAGGGCAGGGCGTTGGAATGAGATGACATTTATGAAGAACGATGGAAGGAGCTGGGGCTGTTGAGTTTGAAGCAGAGGAGGCTGAGGGGAGACCTCCTCACTCTGCAACTGCCTGACAGGACGGTGTGGAGAGGTTGGGGCTGGGCTCTTTCCGCGGGGGAGTTGGGGCTGGTCTCTTCTCACGGGTAACGAGCGATAGAACCAGAGGGAATGGCTGCAAACTGCAACAGGGCAGGGTCACACTGCACATGAGGAAAAATATTGTCCCAGCAAGAGCAGTGGGAGCTTGGCACAGGCTGCCCAGGGAGGTGGTGGAGTCCCCATCCCTGGAGGGGTTTCGAGGTCATTGAGATGTGGGGTTGGGGGAGATGGGTCAGGGCTGAGCTTTGTAGAGCAAGGTCAGTAGTTGGGCTCGATGATCCAAAGGGCCTTTTCCAACCTGAAGGATTCTGTGACTCTTTGATCCTTTCCAACCCAAACCATTTCATAGTTCGATGATGTTGCATTTCTCATCTCGCCCCGTGCTACGTCACCTCCAGCAACACCGCTCCCGTTTCGAAGCCTGCCCTACCGACCCATTCCCCCTCCTGAATAACGAGGGAGCTCGTTTCACCTCCTGCCTCTCTCTCCTCACCTCTTTTTCCCCTCCCGTTTCAGCCAACCACAGCGCCAAGCAGTGCCGCACGCCCTGTGCCCTGCGCACCGTGTGCGGCGAGTGCACGAGCGGCAGCTCCGAGTGCATGTGGTGCAGCAACATGCAGCAGTGCGTCGACTCCAACGCCTACGTGGCCTCCTTCCCCTACGGGCAGTGCATGGAGTGGTACACCATGAGCAGCTGTCCCCGTGAGTAGCGCCGTAGAGGTCTTCTCCAACCTTCACGAGGATTCTCTGATTCTCCCTGCGTGGGCGAGGTGGGAAATTCCCCTCCCTCCCCTTCCCAGGGTGGATCCCAGGAACTCTGCGTCTGCATCATAGAGAATTAAGTCCCCCGTTATGGGAATTGTCAATTAAACTAAATGGCTGATAGTGAAGGCTTTCAGTTGGGATGATGAAATCTCTGCTTTTTCTTTCTTTTTTTTCCAGTGGAGAAGTACTTGTTTCATTATTTGAATTCCCATCCTTCAAATTAATTGTTATATAATTTTGAGTGATTAACGTCTCTTTGTATCTCTTCTGTATCTCTTTTTTATTCCTATATGCAGCCATGTAATTTAATAATAGATTACCCGTATCAAATCCCAATTAGGGTTTACATGACTGTTTTATTCTGAAGTATTGTCTGCATATAGCCCACAGTAGGAATTTCCAGCTTTCATTAAATAATTATTTTAATTTTTTTAGACAGATGTGTGCAAACCGCAAACGATTGGTGGTGCTTTGGAATATTGCTTTCTGTTTTCGAACTGGGAGCGGGGAGGCGGGGAGGAGATAGTCTAAAAAAAGTGGCCAAGCAGTTTTAAAAATTGTTGTTATTTGTGGCAAACTCTTTAGAGGAAAAACCAGGGCTCTGGGGGTAGGGGAAGGAGAGCAGTGCCTGTGTTCCCCAGGAGGGAAGTTGGGCAGTTTGAAGTTGCTGTAGTTGCTCCAGGAACTTTGGGAAAGTGATGAGAATAAGCCCGGGTAGCTCAAAGTTTTGGCAAAATAAGAGATGGAGAAAATTAGTTTCAAGAACTGTCAAACATGAGAGTGTGAACTTCCCGTATTGCCAGAGGACAAAAATTGGAGGAAACATCAGGCAGGAGATGAGTAAGCTGAAATAATGGAAAATAGTGATTTTCTACTCGTTTTTTCTTTAAAGGCAAAGTTTAAACGTCAGAACAGAAAGCCTGCTCATATTAGGAGAGCAAGAAGCTACAAAATACTTTTTAATACAGCATGGGGACAGGAATAGAAAAACTTTCCTAGATATACAGAGTTTGTCGCCCTGGAAATAAAATCCCATTTGAGAGAGGAACATTTAAAGGGTGACGATGTTTTTTCCCCTGACTTGGTCGATTGCTGAGCCCAGGGGCTCTGCATGTGGCACTCGGAGCAACCCAAGAAGATAGATTTTATTCTGGTTTCGTGTTCTGTGATTTTTGATTCGAGCAAGTAATTGAAATAGCAACGTGTGGTACTGAAACGTGTGGTAAGAAGAGAGTCAAACAAGCTGGTTTTTAGCCTTTGTTTCTGGACGGGTCATTTTATCACCTGATCCGTTGTAAATCGATTGGAGATCTTTTGTAATTGGAAACATTAACCTCTGCTTTTAGTGGGTGGTGTTTAATCTTCAGAAAATCCTTACATGTGCGTTGCCATGTTTCATAATTCCCTCGCAGATTAATGCAGCCTTTGTTAACAGTTACCTTAAATTCCAGAACAAATACGCTGATAGGAATAAATTTATATCTATGTGTTACTGTGAATATCGGGATAAATATTTAGAGATTTAGCAAGCTAAATACTTGAGGCTGCAAAAGACGCGCAAGGGTTTGTCTGTTTGGGGATGGTGGTTTATTCCCTGGTTTGATTTTATTTTTTTTTAATATTTTTTTTTTAAATAGCTGAAAACTGTTCAGGCTACTGCACGTGCGCTCACTGCTTGGAGCAACCCGGCTGCGGCTGGTGCACCGACCCGAGCAACACGGGCAAAGGGAAATGCATCGAAGGTTCTTACAGAGGACCGGTCAAGATGCCAACCCCGTCCTCCGCGTCAGGGAAACACAGCTTGGAGCCCATCCTTAACGTCAGCATGTGTCCTGTGGAGAACAGCTACAACTGGTCCTTTATTCAGTGCCCAGGTAAGTGAGCGACGCTTAATTGTTCAGGAAGTTTGGCCATTCGTGCACCAGTTAAATGGAAGGGGAGAGATTCATTAAGGCTGGAGCGATATCTCCATTCCCTCCTCTTAATGGAGGGAGGAAAAGAGCTCGGAGGACAGACGAGAAGTCCCACGTTTGGGGGTGGAAGGAGTTGTGCAGGGTATCTGCAGAGGTTTGAGGCATGAAGGCTTACCTGTGCGTCGCTCCTGTGACATTTTTCCTTTCCCTCCAGCCCTTTTATTCGTTTTAGGGTTGGTTGAAAGAGAGGCCGTTCTTCCTTTGAAAGTCAATCTCACTGTTATTCGTGTTCAGGGTGATCCTGAAATAACACTTTTGACACCAAACATAGAGTTTAAAATGACTTGGGCTGCTGCTACGCTCTTTCTTCCCCATTGCTTCTTGTTAAATCCCACCAGCTGCTCCCAGTCCCATCAGTGCCACATGCCAGAAATGTTTAGGAGTTCAGTTTCTCCTGCGTCGCTTGAAATTGCCATTTTCCAACACACTGAGTTCACGTATGGTGAGCGAGGCTCTACGTGAAAGGCTGTATTTGAGCAAAAATACTCATATTTTTCTGTTTCCTTCAGCCTGCCAGTGTAATGGGCACAGCAAGTGTGTCAACGAAAGCATCTGTGAGAAGTGTGAAAATCTGACAACTGGCAAACACTGTGAAACTTGTATCTCGGGCTACTACGGTGATCCTACTAATGGAGGAACGTGTCAGCGTAAGTGATGCCTTAAATCTTCCTGAGCTGCAGGCTTTGGTGTTTTTCGCTCTTTACTCATTCCTCTGGTATCTTAACTGAAATGAGATGCTCATGCCTTTTTTTCTCTCCTGCAAGCAAGGCACAATCCTCGTTGCTTCAAATCAAAGATGCGGAAATGGCTTAATGAAATTCTTCGACTTGCACTGCACAAGATAAAGATGATTTTTACCGTCTTTTGGTAAACTTTAAATGACCACCGTGAAAAATGTGCGCATTTTAGTATTTGACAATTCTGTTTCAAAGAGAAACAATGTTAATCCCAGTGTCTCGAACAAATTTTCGCTTATCGAAATTCCACCTTCTCTTGCATTTGGTTAATGTGTTGTGCATGTATTGTTATAATTGTCTGCTTCATGAATGACTTACCATATTTCACCGAGGAGTTGGCTGGATTTCACCTGAGGATTAGATGATCCTTGATAAAATTGTATTTTACGTTTGTAAAATGCTTTGGGACTCTGGCACAGAGAACTTCTTTAGCTTGTGCAAGATCCAGTTAAGAAAAAAAAAGTCTTGAAGGACCGATATGGGTAATGCTGAGGAATGAACATGTAAGACTTGCAGGTTTGCCCTTGAACTTCTCAACATTATTCCAAATTACTTTGAGTTTTTGTGGTGGTGTAGTGTGGTTAGACCAGTTGTAAAGCAGAATTCAGCTGTAATCGGTGATGTGCAGGTGTGAGAGAAGGTGCTTCATGCTCCAGAGAGCTTTACTGGAGTAGAATTAGGTGGAGTGATGGAGTGGTAGTGTTTGATAGAGTGATGGGAAAGGTAGAACAGAAATAACATTGTTTGGTGTCGGAGTGGTATGAGTACTTCCATGAAATGAATGTAGGCATCCCAGAGGAAATAAATGAAGGTGATTAATGAGGGGACATTGAAAACTTCCATAGAATCGTAGAATCCTAGAATGGTTCAGGTTAGAAGGGGTCTTGAAGATCATCTGGTTCCAGCCCCCCTGCACTGGGCAGGGACACCTCTCTCCCACCAGCCCAGGTTGCTCAAGGACCCATCCAACCTGACCTTGAACCCTTCCAGGGATGGGGCATCCACAACCTCCTTGGGCAACCTGTGCCAGTGCTTCATCACTCTCATGGAGAAGAATTTCTTCCTTATATCTGACCTAAATCTACCCTCTTGCAGTTTCAGACCATTGCCCCTTGTCCTATGACTACAGGCCCTTATGAAAAGCCCTTCTCCAGCTTCCCTGTAACCCCGTTCCCGTACTGACAGGCCACTATTAGGTCACCCTTCTCTTCTCCAAGCTGAACAACCCCAGCTCCCTCAGCCTGTCCTCACAGCAGAGGTGCTCCAGCCCTCTCATCATCTTTGTGGCCTCCTCTGGACCTGCTCCAGCAGATCCATGTTCTTCTTGTGCTCTGGGCTCTGGAACTGGACGCAGCACTCCAGGTGGGGCCTCACCAGAGCAGAACAGAGGGAGAGAATCCCCTCCCTTGCCTTGCTGGTCACACTCCTTTGGATGCAGCCCAGGACGTGGTTCACTTTTTGCAAGTGCATGCGAGTAACTTTGAGTTACTTCTTCCAAGTGCAGCCACAATCCAGTAGAAAATTCTTGGAGATTCATTTAGTGTGTGTACTGGAAGGAGCATGGACCTGGGTGAAGATGGGAGTCGGTAGCTGGAGCGTGAACGCCCTGTTTCCTCGAGCAAGAGCAAGTCGGTGATGTTTGAAGCTGTGAAGAAGAACCACCCAGCAGCCAGATTGGAGGAAGGGAGTGAAAAGATCACAAACTAGGATGAGGCTGCCCTGCAGTAGCTGGGATGTGAAATTACGACAGACGGCACGGCGGCGTGGATACGAAAGGAAAAGGTGCATCTCTGACACTTAATTTCAGAACATTATCTGAGAGATTAAATACCGCTGATATTTGTAAACTCATTTCATGTGAAGATAATTTGAAGTGCAGGGATGAATAAATCGAGACTGAGTTGGCCTGAGAAAAAAATCTAATTCTACTCTGAGCATTCAGCTTTAATCATGGGATCACGCCGTGCCTTTTGATATTTGTTACTTTTCTCTGCATGTGGAAATTGAGAGCGAGTTACTTTGGACGCTTCCGCATGAGGATTGTCCAGAAATAGTTTGTTGTTGAGAAAATGAATGATAGGCTAAAGTCACCCAGATGCCTGAAGAAGAAATTAGAAAATGTGTGGAGGAGACTGCGGAACAGCATTCATTCGTTATCTGATGGAACCGGTAGCTCATGTCAGAAGTGCTTTGCTCTCAAGTGCTTTGGGCCCAGGTTTTTAATTTGCTGTGATTTAACGGTATTTACTGTGAAGGTGGAAGAATGAGGGAAGCAAGAAACTGAGCTCAAAGACCAGAGGGAAAGTCAGAGGACATCATCCTGTCTGCTGCAGTCAGAGGGGCTGCTGGCCACCGGCATTTTTTCCTTGGTGGAAAGGATTCCCGAGGGGAATTTTTAAGATGAGAACCTGCTGATGGACAGCGGAGCCAACTCCTGCTTCGAGCGATGGGCCCTCCCTTCCTTTCCCGTTAACGATGTGCTGATTCCACCCTTTTTGGTGCTTTTGTGTGCGGCTCTACTTTCAGACTGGAGACGATTGTTGGTGCACACTGACCTGGTGCACAAGCGTCCCTGCCTTTGCACACTGAGTGTCTTTCTACATCCAAGTGCAGATCCGTGGCATTTCACCCGATGGTTGAAGTTGGAAAGGCCTTTGAAGATCATCTCTTTCCAACTCCCCTGCCCTGGGAAGGGACACCTCTCTCCCACCAGCCCAGGTTGCTCAAAGACCCGTCCAACCTGGCCTTGAACCCTTCCAGGGATGGGGCATCCACAACCTCCTTGGGCAACCTGTGCCAGTGCTTCACCACTCTCATGGTGAAGAATTTCTTCCTTGTATCTGACCTAAATCTACCCTCTTGCAGTTTCAGGCCATTGCCCCTTGTCCTATCCCTACAGATTCTTGTGAAAAGCCCTTCTCCAGCTTCCCTGTAGCCTATTCCATGCACTGGAAGGCCACTATTAGATCACCCTGAAGCCTTCTCCAAGCTGAACAATCCGAGCTTCCTCAGCCTGTCCTCGTAGCAGAGGTGCTCCAGCCAAAATAAGAAATATTTAGTGCTGAAAAGTGATAACGGTGGGGTTCAAAAGCCAAGGAGGTCTTAGAAAAGCAGGTGGAACAAGGTGCCTTTTCCTGCTGCTCTGCGCCACCGGGGCAGGTGAACATTGCTCTGTCGCCTGTGTTGAAAACATTTTGACAAACTGCAGTTATTTCTCTGAAAGAATTGTTTGCATATCATCACAGGCATTGGGGTTTGCAGAGCTGGGCAGATAATAACTAAATAGTAGGTAAATCACTCCTCGGCAGTCGCTTTTAGGAAGTGCCCAACGTAGAGAAGTGTTAATCGGGAAGGGCAGGAACTGCAGCACATCAAATGTAAAAATAGCTGCAAGGTGCTTGCTTGGCATTCAGGATTTTTTGAATTTTCTGATTAAAGTTTCACATGAAAATATGCTAGCGGTAGATAAGAAAGTTATTTGCAAAAGAACGGGAGGCACTATTATGCCTGAAATCAGATTGCTGTGGCGGTGACGCTTCCGAACGCCTCGGAGGAACGTTTGCTGGTTGCCCGTGATGAGGTGACAGTGCTGTGGTCCTGCCTGGTCCCCCCTTGCCAGAGCTGCTCCAGAGCCGTGGAGGACAACTGAAGCACTTGGCATTGAAAACTTATGTTGGGCAGGTGGGTGCCACAGTTGGTGGTGGTGTGTTGGACCCTGTCCTGGTTTGAGCTAAAAAAGCCAGTTCTGTTTAGTGATTTTTACTTTCCAGTTTAGTCTCTTCTAAAAGGCTGCACGTTCTGACGTTAACAGCGTGTTTTTGCAGACAGTGCCTGCTACTAGCAGTGATAACACCTGCTTTCTGAGATCCAATCTAAACCCATTCTCCTTCAATTTAAACCCATTTCCCTTGTCCTGTCACTGGACGCTTGTCAAAAGTCCCTCCCCAGCCTCCCTGTCGGTCCCTTCAGGCCCTGCAGGCAGGGATAAGGTGCCGCTGGAGTCTTCTCTTCTCCAGCTGAACAACCCCAGCTCCCTCAGCCTGTCCTCGTAGCAGAGCTGCTCCAGCCCCTGGGTCAGCTTTGTGGCCTCGCTGGACTCGTTCCAACAGATCCACGTCCCTCTTATGGTGGGGACACCAGAACTGGACGCAGGATTCAAGGTGGGTCTCACCAGAGCAGAGCAAAGTGGGGGAATCCCCTCTCCTGCCCTGCTGGCCACATTCCTCTGGATGCAGCCCAGGACAGGGTTGGCCTCTGGGCTGCGTGAGCGCCCTGCCAGCTCAGGTTGAGCTTCTCATCTGTTAACACCCCCAAGTCCTTCTCTTCAGGGCTCCTCTCAACCTACTCTGTGCCCAGTTTTAATTTGTGCCTGGGATTAGCCCGGCCCAGGTGCAGGACCTTTCATTTTGACTTGCTGAAGCTCCTGCAGTTTGCACTGGCCCGTTTCTCAAGCCTGTCAAGGTCCCTCTGGATGGCATCCCTGCCCTCCAGTGAGTCCATGGCACCCCACAGCTGGAAGACGAAATGCAGCAAGAGGAGCGGCGACCCCCTTGGCCATTTCTGAAGGAGTCTGTGACCTGTGGTTTGTGAAGAAGGTGGAAGGACACTCATAGAATCATAGAACAGCTTCAGTTGGAAGAGACCTTCAAGATCCTCGAGTCCAACCTTCGTCCTAGCCCTGTCAACACGGCTAAACCACCGCTCTAAGGTGGTTCATGATCAGACTGTTGCCGTGCTTCACCATCAAAAAGCCATGTCCAAGAGTTCTGTCTTTCTGCTCCAGCATCGAGCTCTAGAGGGGAACTTCAGACTCCAGCAAGGGCGTCTGGTGTGTATGATGAATAGTTTGTTCCCAAACTTCATCGTGGTCTGAAAAGCCATGAGATTTCTCTTCATCGTGTCTGTTCCAGGTCTTTAGTGAGTGTTCTCCAGTTATGGGGCTCATAGGGAAATGGTTAAAGAGATAAGACTGTTGTTTTATGTAAGTGTTCAGTCTTCTTGATTAGCAGGTTGCTAAAGAGCAAGGGCAGGAAGCATTAATATTATCTTTCAAGATACCGTGATGTGCATCTAAACAACGTGAAATTTGAAATTTGTCCGTATTTTCATGTATGTAAGCGTTGAATATCGATTGAATTTCACTTTGCTTACCCTTCGCAAAGCATAAGGAAGGCAGCACAAGGTGTTCTCACTAGTATTAAGAATTGTATTTTTAAAGTGCCACTAATAGGAAGTGTGTTTGCTTCATGGAATACAATTATTTTGTCAAATCTTCATTCAGTCTACTTGTTCCCACAATAGGCCTTTATGCATCTTCATATTTTGTTCCGTGTTGCTGCTAGGAAACCACTCGTGCACATCTGAGAAGCACAATTAAGTGTCCCTGATACGATATAGCTTCCATTACGTGCCAACATAAAGACGACATCGAAAGAGTTCATAAAACAAGGTCCAAGGTTGGCAAAGACATTCAGGATGGGGACTTCGTGTCTTAAGAGTCTGCTGGTACATTCGGTGTCCTCTTTGTGAGAGGCATATGTCTTCTTGACGAGGAGGCACCAGCCTTTAAAGCACAGTATTTCCAAGCTCAGGGACCGCAAATGAGGGTTCTTTCGGTGCTTTTTCTCTTTTTTTATGTTGTACTCTCCCATGCACCAGATGAACGCACCTTCCAATTCATGGGTAGAACAACCTTTAGGGTGAAGTTATTCTATCCATTCCTCTAGTTACAGTGAACATCAGATCAAGGACAACAGCTCAGGCTGGTTTTCTTTGGGGTTGTTTCTTCACATATGCCTCCTCTGCGTTAGGACTAAAGGTCTCCAAGTGTGTCGCCGTTACCACTTTAATCTGAACCAGGTTCTTTTGGGAAGCAAATCGCCCTTACGTCCCCGCTGTCGTACTTTGGTCTCCTGGTCTATTTTGGGCACGTCACAGACCTGATGGATTTTAGGCATTTGCTTCAACCACGACTTAGTGTCAGGCAGCTCACGAGACCAGGCTAAAGCTTTTCTAAAATAGATGGGGGCACCCCAAACCACTCACGGCACGGACATCGGATTCTTAGCACCGCCTGTTTTACCCTGACGTTGTTCATAATGGCATTGTTTCCTCAAAGACCCATTTATTTCTAGAAAAAGCCCAAAAAGCACCACGAGCTTTATTTTACTTTCTAAAACGGTCTTCTCTCAAGAATTTTGACTGAAAGGTGTTCGCAAGCCCCAAAATATTGTAAATATTGTCTTTTGCTCCCCAAGTATGGTAACCCTAGCACTGTATAACAACAAAGAGGGGAAGTTAAGTAAATTTTTAAGGCTAGAAAGCACAATCTGACCATGGTTTCATACAAAGCATCAGCCCTGGAGCCTGCGCTCGCTCTGTTTTGACGCACGGTTCTATTTCGAGCTGACTTCTGTCTCGCGAAGAAACAAAGAGAGCCCCAAATGGCTTTTCATCCGCGCTTTGCTTGTTGGTGTGTCTCAGTTTGGTGACTCAAGGGCTTAATTGCTGTTGAATCTGTTTCTCTCGCTTCATTCAGCGTTGCCTCTTTTTCCCCCCCCTCTCCTCTGCTCAACAGCTTGCAAGTGCAACGGCCACGCGTCCGTCTGCAACACGAACACAGGGAAGTGTTTCTGCACCACCAAGGGAATAAAAGGAGACGAGTGTCAACTGTGAGTTCGTTTCACTTGGGTGTTTGAAATCCAAAAGCCGTGCTCGGAACTGCTGCTTTTTCTTTTTTTTTTCAATCATATGATGTGTCTGCTCATCTCTTCATCTGCTGACGGTTGACTCATTTCATTGATGGAGCAGCCGGTTGTGCCCGGCTGAAATGATTTCCCGAAGATTTTTAAGAACAATTTCGGATGGGAATGTCATTCAGAAGGGATGGGGAGAAAAAAAATAACGCCCCCAAACTATACGTACCCCTTTGCGTTACCCCTCAGTAGCTTCTTTTTAATTGCCAGATTTTAACTGCGCGCTCTGATGCTCTTTTGGGGGAGTGAAAATCTATCTGAAAGAAGTCTTTGACATTCAAGCATTTTAGTGGAGCTGTTTCAGAGCAACAAATTTGCTGGAGGTTCCTCTGTAACGTAACAGAATTGCTTTTAGTGTAATGTTGGTGGAAATGATTGGATTCCGACATAATTTCATTGCTAAATTGATTTTTTAAGTGTTGCTCGCGTGAGTAAACGTTTTATAGGAGTAGATCCTGGAATAGCCACAAATGTAAATGGAAACGTTGGGGTTTGGCTGTAGTTATCCAGTTCCATGCATTGTGGAGAGCTAATAAACACATCCGAAGGGGGTGCAAAGGTTAATATTCAGAATTTTGTGTTTCATTTTTACCGCGTACAAGTCTGACTTGCACAGATTCTGAGATTTCTTCAGTTTAGCTCAAACATGCATCTTTTCTTTTTAATCATGTACTGTTATCATCACAGGTGATGTTTTCTGATTTTTAGTGGCTGGGAATAAATAGAACTGAAAAAAATCAATGTATTAAAAAATACGTATTCTTTTTAGGTGTGAAGTGGAAAACAGATATCAGGGAAATCCACTTAAAGGAACGTGTTACTGTGAGTACTCCTGGGGTTTTGTTTGGAGATGAAAAATGTGTTTGAAGTTTAAAATATGTTTTTTTAAATTAGTTTTAGTTGCCTCAGCATCTACTTGAAATACGAGGGACTAAGGGAAGGACTAAAAAGTAGTTTTAAAGGACTTCAGTTTTTACAAAAGTGTTGTTTAAAGAGAATGAAAAGCCTCTTCTTGATAAGGTCTATGTGATGATTGGATCTTGCAGAACAAACTTGGGAATGTTTTTCAAGTAACTTAAATGAATTCTGGTCTTGTGGAGAATCCTCTGAAATCCCTACCCAATAAGCCAAAACCAAAGCATGTCTTTAGAAGTTTTGGAGGTTCAAAATACTATTTTTCTGAAAAATTCTGTTCCGCGTTAGAAGGAAAACGGTTTCAAAATTGCCACGTTTCCTCTGAAATGAACAGTCGGATTCCCCTGTAATTCGAGAAGCTACTTTGCCAAGATTGAGATTACTTCATGGAAACTCTCCAGCTTCTATTTGCAAATATTAGCAATCAGCGCGCTGGCAGGCACGGAGAGATGTAATCTTAAATTACAGAAAGCTGCAAGTCACAAATAGTATTTCTGTGCGACGCAGAAATTATTGCCACGCTGCATTTAGCACATTTAGATTCTGCTCGTGTAGCCAAACAGGGACACTGACGGCCAGGGGTGGTGAACTGGGCAAAAATGGGAAAAAGAACTTTACAACTCTTGTAGGAACAACCTCGTGCTCTGCAGACTCAGTCTCGGTTTTCTTCCTCGAAAATTTCGTGCTGCTTCGTAGGAGGTGTGGGTATGTCACGTCCCGCTCAGGAGGGGCTCGAGTGACTTAGATTTGTAATTCCCCAGTGGAGTGGGCAACGGTGAGACAAGTCTCGAGGTCCCTACACAAACGTTTATTAATTTCTCACAGTGTGTAGACTGGACTCATGATAATCGGTTTTAGTTGCCTGACACATTGAGGCAGGCAATATACCGTGACTTAATGATAATCAGGAAAAGACTAAGTGTGCACCAAACTACAGCAAGCTGCGTGTTACTTAACGATAGCAAGGAAAAAAGGACAATAACAAATGATAACAGGCAATATTATACTTAACTACAAGGAAGAAACTGAGGCATAAATTAAGTAAACAGTATGATAGTGAGAAAGGGGAAAGGAAAAGAAAGAGGGGGGAGAGACGAGGGGAAAGAGAAACAGAGATCACCGGTCTGGATTCCGCCAGCGAGGGTTCAAGGATGCCGTCGTCTTTACTTCTTCTTATCTTCATCTCTGTCTAAACGCTTCTGTGTCTCGTTTCTTCTTTTTCTTGTGTCTTCTGTCTCTTGTCTAACTTTTTGGTTTTTCCCACCTCAATTTACACACCCTTTTTCTCTGTGCGGCTGCACAGTGTGTCCAGTAGGGAAGCAGAGCATTTCATTGCATATGTCCATCTGCGATTGCCTTATCCCCTTGGGAGATACGCTCCGAGACAAGACAGTCCTGCCTTCCCGAGATTCCTGACCCCATCCATATTCTGGCCAAGGCTGTTTGAGGCATCTGTGTCCTGCTTCCCTCTTCCACATTCCATTTAGCACTTACCAGTTTGCCACACAGGGCCAGAAACTGGCCTTGTTTTTCACCAAGCTGGAGGGTCGTAAAATGCCAAGAAATATTGAAGGCAAACATTCACGCATCCATCCACTCCAGGGGAGGTTGGAAGGTTGGTGTAGCTCGTGTCTATCCAACAGAAGCTCTACAGGAAGCAATAGGAGAAAAAACACAACTGGTGTGTAGCTTTGGGTTTATTATTGCTCAGGAGTACCTATAAGCCACTGGGTTTTAGTAAAAGGATGTGGAGACTGGTGGGTGTATCCTCAAAACTGGCTGTGCCCTGTCGATTAACAGAAAGGTTAAATTCCCCAGCCCTGGGAAATCATGAGCGTAGGGAGGGCATGCAAGTGGGCCAGCAACTGGTCCTGGTGTGACCCAGAGCAGGATGGCAGCTGGATCCGTTAACGGGAGGCTGCGCCCTAAAATTCCTCGGTGAACATCCACTGATGTGCAGAGACTTACGGCACGTGGAACTCAGTCACCTCCCAAGTGGGGATTAGATTGCTGGGTTTATATTTCTAGTACTCCCTTAGCACACAGAGGTATTGCTGCATGGAAAAAAGTCAATGTCTTGGCGTGTTCAGTGACATTGTGCCTTGCTTGGCCGAAGTTTGGATGTGGTCTAGGGGTGAACTTGCAAGTAGGGTTAATGGTCGGACTCGATGATCCCAAGGGTCTTTTCCAACCTGGATGATTCTGTGATTCTGTGATTCTATTCAAAGAGGTGAGATAACTTTCTCCCTGCCTTCCTTACAGACACCCTTCTCATTGACTATCAGTTCACCTTCAGTCTTTCTCAAGAGGACGATCGCTATTACACAGCCATCAACTTCGTAGCAACGCCCGAAGAGGTAAATTTTCTCCTTTCCCTTTAAACTTTGTCCTTTTGGTGTACGGTTGTCAGCTCAATGGATTGTGACAATTCTGCCACTCTCCAGATGCAGTCTCGTAATATCTCACCTGCATCCAGTTGTACAACGCAGCCAGAACTCCTTGAGCTTGGCTTGACCGTGCAGTTTCAAATCTTCACGGGCACATTTCGTGATTTTTTCCTGATTTTTTTTTTGGCTTGTTTGAACAACTGCTGAGCAACTCTGGTTTTGCTTGTTGCTCTCTTTGTTTTCCTGTTTTGTTCTATGCACGTGACTTGTTTTGTTCTTTATTTGGGGAGGAGAATAGTGCTTTCAGAAAACAAAAATAGTTTTTTGCTTCATTGTAAATAACAAATTCCAAGACTTTTTTTTTCCAGTGAAGATTTGCTAGGAAAGAGCACAGTAAAATTGTTATCCTAAAAACAGGTTTTCTTTTTCTTCCCCCTCTCCCAAGCAAAACAGAGACCTGGACATGTTCATCAATGCATCTAAAAACTTCAACCTCAACATTACTTGGTCCACAAGTTTTGCAGGTAAGATGAGCATGATCTAAGTTTCTTGGTAGCTTGTTTCAGTCACCAGTTTTCAACACGTGCAGACTTAATTGGGGAAATTTATTTTTTTTAACCTATGAACTCGTTCTGTAATGGTTTTAAATGTTAGGCCTGGGAGGCAGAAGTAAAATATTAAAAGTAATTACGTTTTTCTATCTTAATAGTGTGGTTTGGAAACATTGAAGGTGCAACTTTGACTTCTAGTAGTGTGATATTTTAGCATACAGTAGTTTTGGTAATGCAGCGGAGCTTAAAATTGTAACGTTAAGGTGAGCGGTTAATTTTGTAGCATTAAAATTGAGGATGCTTCCGCTTTTTTGTTTGCCACTTAAAGTGTTCATTGAAACCTCTTTTCTTGCTACCTTCTAACGTTGGAAAACAGCTGGCACGCAGGCTGGGGAGGAAATTCCAGTTGTTTCAAGAACCAATATAAAAGAATACAAGGACAGCTTCTCCAATGAGAAATTTGATTTCCGCAACAATCCAAACATCACGTTCTTTGTTTATGTCAGCAATTTCACCTGGCCGATAAAAATACAGGTAGGAGCTGTTAATGTGTGTATAATATATTTAGAAGCACTTTTTTTCTTGCAAGCACTGTGGCAGTTGGATGTGCTTTGTGTTGTCCCAGCTGAACCAGGTCTCCATCTACTCCTGCAGCAGAGAGAGGGTTTGATGTTCCTGATTAAGAGCAAAAAAGTGTGTTGTCTTCTGATTGATGTTGCCTCAGAATGCGTTGTGAAGTAATGGGGGATGCTTGCTTCTAACGGGGCTGTGTGCTAACGAGGGCTCCGGCTTGAAATGTGTAGGTATTGATGTTGAAGGAAAAAAGATAAAAAAATCACTCCTATAGCCAAAAGGCGAGCATGGAATGAGAAAACAGAGGAAAATGGTCTTAGTGTCTCTTTTTAAAGGTCTTGTTCTCGAAGGGCACAACTCAAGGGCTGTTCCTTTCCTCCTTGTTGCTGCCCAAGGCTGGAGGTACCTGCAGAAGAAGATGAAGCTCATTCTTTCCCCTAATTGAGTGCAGGCAGTAGCACACACACGTGTTGCCTCGGGTGTCAGAGTGGCTGCGGCGATAAGGCTAGTGCAGAAGAAGCAGTGGAGAAAGGTTGGTGGATCCCAGATCGCAGACTGCAATCACAGACACTCTGTAACAGCTGATAATTCAGAGAAACCTTGGCCACCTTCTTGCTCAGGGCAGGTCAAGTGCAAACCCGCGGTGTAGTCGGGGTGATCTGGGGCCCTTTGAGTCATAGGAAGGACGCTGAAGGACAAAAGGACTTCCAGATTTGAAACAGAGATCTCAAATGGAGCCCTGTGTGTTTGCATTTTGCCTTTTTTAAAACAGCTCTGTCAAATGTGGGAACCCAAAATCTCTCGTCGTTAGCCTTATTCAGCCAATTTTTGTGTGGAAGCTGCCAACTTCACGTGAATTTACTGGAAATTTCAGACATACCGGTTACTCAAGCTCACTGTAGACATCACTTCCAAGCAAGATAACGCACATGATAACATTGAGCAAGGCGATGAAGTTCCCCTGGGGAAAAAAAAAATAATCCTTAAGTTATAGTGATATTTTTCAAGGTATTTCCAGTACTTTAAAAAAAAATACTGCAAACACTTGTGAAATGTGCGCGTCACCTTCTGGTAAAGATGGTGGAGTACTTGGGAAACTTTGTCTTGTTGATTCCAGAGTGATGGATTTGATAGGCTGGCTTTGGACTGCATTTTTTAATATCATCTGCAATACTGGTCATCATTTTTCGGCTGGAGAGTTTCTACTTGACAAATTGGTGAAGCCTAAGTTCATTGTCAAGTCCTAATTTTGAGATAGGGAGGAGTTTGCAAGAGCTGCAAGGTCAGACCTTTATGTCGCTGGCTACTCAAGCAGGGAGTGCTGAGCCACGTTGTTTGCGCTGAAGATGAATACTGCTTTCAGCAGGGAAAGGAACATCCTACGTGCAAAAGTAGGCACTTGCATACTGGTTTATTTAAACCTTCAAATTCCTCTTTTATCAAACTGGTAATCACAGGAGTCAGAAAAAAAAACCCAAACACATTTTATTTAACTTACAGGTTATGTTGGCTGGTAGTTTTACTTCCCATAATCAGTGCTAGACTGTAGCTTACCCTTATTTATTTATTTGCTGTTTCTTGATGCAGAGCTGTGTGTTTGGACTTCGTAGCTGCTTCAGAACAGTCTCCGGTCCCTTAAGCTCTCCTGTGTTGATTCGTCCCCACCCTACCTGTGCTAGCTTTTCCTATGCCATTGCTGTCAGTGAGCTTAAATATCCCCTCTATCTTCTGGTTGGCAGCTTTCCCTGGATGAATTTGGACAGGTCATATCCTCTTCTCAGCCTTTAGTGTTTGTTTCTTGGCTTAAGCAAGACAAACCCTCATTATCTTGTCCCACGAAACAGGTTGTTCGGCTTCGGTTGCCTCATTTGTTTTTCCTCTGCGCTCCCTTGTATCAATCCCACTTGGTCAGTTTTGGTTGTGGAAATCAGGTCTCACCCTAGCTTTGTACAGGGATCTCTCTGAGTGCTTTATGGACCTTTCTAGGTCCTCTTAAGGCAGTATTTTGCTTTGCTCATTCTCATGACTGCAGCAATTAGTAGTCCTTATTAATTTTAATACGGACTTAACACCTCATTCTTTCACATCCTTGGTTTCCAAATGCTCAGCTCCCAATCTCGATAGAGAACGTTCTTCTCCATCCCTAACAGCATCGTTAAATGTTACCCTGCTGCTCTTACTGTGTAATTTTGCCAGTCATAAAATCATAGAATTCTAGAATGGGTTGGGTTGAAAGGAACCTTAAAGATCATCCAGTTCCAGCCCCCTGCCCTGGGCAGGGACCCCTCCCACCAGCCCAGATTGCTCCAAGCCCCGTCCAACCTGGCCTTGGGCACTGCCAGGGAGGTGCTGCCACAGCTCCTGAAGATCTTCTGGTTGTTCCTCTGCGTGGCTCTTTTCCATATGTTTAGTGATGATCCCCTTCAACTTTTGAGTCTGTCAAAGCCTGTCCAAATGCCATCCCTGAACTAACTCCTGTCCTCTTTAACACCGTGATCCTTGAAATAATTTTCACTATCTTTATTTCACTCAGGAATGAAATTTCACCCATAATGAAATTGGGATTGGCCGAGCTGTGCTGCTTGGGCCTGTGCAATTAATTATTTTTACAACAGAAAAGAGCGGGCTGGCGTAGCACAGTTTGCCATTGCCAACTCTGTCACTTGTGGAATTCGGTTTTCATTTACTACTCCAGTTCTTTTATTCAAAACTTGTCCTGAAACTTTGCATACTCTTGACGTCTTGAGAGGGTGAATATTTAGGTTCTGGATTGCTTTAGCAGCCTCGCTCCCAGAGGTGTTATCTCATGGACTCCTTCTTTCTTTGCCTTGCCCCTCTGCTCAGTGTCCTTATCCTTAATGAAAAGTCTGATTTCGTTTTAGGGATGCAGCTGATGGGTTTCAATCTCTTGCCTATCCTTCCAGCAGACCCTCTTCCCTTTCCCCCTTTACTTGTGTGGCTGAAAACCTCTCTCGCTATTTTGTTTATCGTTCGTTGAGGTCTCGCACAACTTGACGTTTGGCAGTTCTTATTTTATCTCTGTACTGCTTGCTGGCTTCTTGCTAATGAATCCTTTCCTCTCCATAATACGAATACTCTTCGGTTGTTCCTAATGTCTTTTTTGAGGCTGGTTTTAAGGATACAGCTTTCAAATAGTTTTGCATCTTTGACCTGAGAGAAGTACTTAGATGGCTGCTTTCCCGTTTCTTATCTCCTTACTCCACTTGATTTTACTGTCTTATTTAATTTCTCAGAGTTAAAAAGAGTGAACTTTGATTCTCTTACAACAGTTATCTCATTTTATCCTTAATTTAATCTGAATTTACTTGTGTGCACTTGATCCAAGCTATTTTTACATCATCAGCTCTACTTAATGCCCTTGTTACTTGCCAAAACTAAGCCTAAGTAGCATCACCTCTTACTGGTTGAGAGACCCTTTTTGTCAAGAAGTCTGGCAGCGATATCACATCCAGGAATACGAGGTTTTTACAATTTCTATTAGCTTGCTCTTTGCTTCATACCTAAGAACCTTTTTTTCCCAAAATGTTTTTTTTTCTGCATCTATCTCCAAATACCTGTTGGTGTTGAATGTCTCAAGCCTTTCTCATGTTTGCAATAGGAGCTCTTTGTTACTTTATTCTGGCTTTGTTGCCCTTATCCAGGAAGCCCACCTGCTCCTCCTTTCCCTGGAGATCTCATCATAGCTCTACGTAGCCCCCTTTTCCGCAGCAGCGCAGTAGCGTTGCTTGTTTGAGTGTGAGATAAACCGTTACCTTCTGCATCCTTTAACAGTTATTGAGAGACTCAAGTCTGCATTTTGCATTCCTAAATTTGACAAACAGCACAGTTTTCTTCACAGAATCACTGAGTGGTTAAGGTTGGAAGGGACCTCTGGAAGGTCCAGCCTCCTGCTCAAACAGGGCCACCTAGAGCAAGAAGCCAAGGGCCATGTCCAGGAAGCTTTCGAATATCTCCAAGGGTGAAGATTCCACAACCTCCCTCGACATCAGGAAGAAGTTCTTCCCCATGAGGGTGGGGAGACCCTGGCACAGGTTGCCCA